AGCTGACAATTTCCCAGGTGGTAGGGAACTCTCCTTTAATGTAAAGTGGCTAGAGCTGGCTTCTGTAGCACCTGCCCTGGCACAGCTTTGCCAATTCACAGCTGACATATAGTCTTTTAGGGACCACATAAATCAGGTGTCATATTAATCTGTCATAGCCTCAGTGTGGCTGCTTTGAGAATCAGGGAACCATAACTGGCCTCTGAGGTGACACAACCCTTGTTCAGGGCAATGGTATAAACTGACAGTCTAGCCCACCGTTTGCAAAGTGCTGAGATTCTTGGAAGGAAAGTGCTACTTAATTCAGAGTACTATGAATGAATGCAACCGATTTAAAGGAACCCACCATATTGATGTGTACACCCCCCCTCCACACACAAGGTGTATATATAGATATACACGTGTGTGTGTGTGTGTGTGTGTGTGTGTGTGTGTGTGTGTATATATATATATTATACTGCTTTTAAAGAAGCATGACCTCTTTAAAAAGCATATTCAGTGGAAAATATGTATCATATGCAAAAGCTATAGCTAAACTGTGCTTTTAAAAATATTATTTGTGTTGTGGTAGTGCCTCAGGGCCCTGATCAGGGCTCCTTAGTGCTGCGTGCTGTACAAACACATAACAAAGAGATGGTTCCCTGCCCTGAAAAGTTTTATGCCTTTTATCCATAAGACTTCACATACTTTGCCTGTGACAAACACACACAAAGCAGATGGAGAAGCCACAAGTCACTCCTACAATTCGTGCTTCAGCTCAGAGATTGCGAGGGTGAGCTGAAGACAACTGTGACTAACAGGGCCAGGAAATTCCTGAGAGAGTAAGAATGATTGCTAACAGTTCTGAGAAAATCTTCCTTGGACTATTATCCCATAGAGAGTGATAGTGGTCTTAACAGGCTTAACCAAACAAACAGCTCTGAGAAACTAGAAATATTCCCTTTGAGATTTGAGTAAAGGAAAAAAAAAAAAAAAAAAAGAAGTTTATGCTAAAGGCAGTTAGACACACACGTGATATTGTCTGTGTGGCACTCAGACCTGTTGTTATTTAGTGTATCTGATCAGAATTTCGATACTCTCAAAGAAGATACCATATCTCAACTGGATACCTTTATCTCAACTGGATAAAAGAGAAAGTCCCATTTAACTTACTGCAGTCGTCTAGTAGCTGGTTTGATTCACCTATGAAAGGACAGGAATCCCCTAATATGAGATACGTAATCATGTAAAACCTTTTACAGCAGCCAGGAAACAATATGATGGCAGTTCAAATGGTGCCTTTGACTCATTTAAACACCTTGGAAAATTCTGCATAAAGATGTATCCAATGAAAAAATTGCTTGAAAACTGTATTTATTTCTAGCTTAGGATCTTTAGCATGAATGGCTAGAAGAGGTGAAGAAATGACCCAGCTCCTAGATTTGTGAAAGCTAGAATGAACAAGAAGAACACACTATATGTCCAATTGTTAAAAACACTCTTGAGGTTTCAGCAGCTTCTTTTGAGTGCTCCCATGCTAGGTTCCCTGCAGTGGCTTTGCCACCCAGGTATTGAATCAGAACTAGCACATACAACTCCTCCTCCAAGAAACCAGTGCTCAAACATCAGTGATGGATGGCAATATAACCCCTCAGAGAAATGCTGTTTTCTCAGCTGCCTCTTGTGCATTGTAAGTGATGTCTGAATAAATCAGCTGGTTGGGTAGAAGTGGAGAGGAAGTATGGTCTTATGCTAAGGAACTATGCTTTGGGTTCAATTTATAGTTCCCAGGTAATCTTGTTCACTAATTCTCTATGCCTCAGTCCCCCATCTGAAAGAAAAAAATGGAGATATTTCCTCTCTCTCACACACATTGTATCTAGTCTTGTCTACTTAGATTGTAAGTTCTTTGGGTCTCTCTTTTATGTGTCCATACAGTGCCTAGGGCCCTAATCACAGTTGGGGCCTCAATCTCACTATACTATAATATATGGAGATATACCTATCTCCTAGAACTGGAAGGGACCCTGAAAGGCCATCAAGTCCAGCCCCCTGCCTTCACTAGCAGGACCAAGTACTGATTTTGCTCCAGATCCCTAAGCGGCCCCCTCAAGGATTGAGCTCACAAGCCTGGGTTTAGCAGGCCAATGCTCAAACCACTGAGCTATCCCTCCCTTGTGGGTACTACTACTTTATATGCTGCAGGTGTGTCACAGGATACACTAAGGGTATATTGAGTGTTCTACTTTTGATAAGGTCACTCGGCTGCATGATGCTTCCCCTCTGCACTGTCTGGTGAAAAGTAACATGTGGCAAGTGGGGATCCAGAGCAGAAGAGGGAGCATGCTGTGCTGCATTCTCCCCTCTTGGCCCTATTTTGATGTAGAGTCCCTACCAAATGGAATATCCTAAGCACATCTCTGGGAAGGAAGTAGAAGGGAGCAGCTGAACTCTGTAGCATGCCCCCAAGCAACTGGGCATATCTGAAAATCGGAGAGGGGGTTACTGCTGCTCAGACCAGCAATAGCTCCATGTAGCCATCAACAACTTTCCCTCCAGCCCCCCAAAGTGTTTTTGTTTTGCTGCAAAGAAGCTAGTTATTCCAGATTGGCTTGGAAAGACTGTAGCCTCAGCAGATTGCTATTATCTGCTATTATACCCTGTAAAGGTCTGGACTCACCCCTGCAGCGCCTCCTGCTGGTCATCCAGGGAATTAGCTCACCAGCCTCCAGAGCACCCTCTGCTGGCCAGGGATCTGCCTTATCCTCTGCTGGCACCCATGTCCCTGCCAGGACCCGGCCCACCTATCACTGGGATGCTGCCCTCTGGCAGCACCCCACAGATCTGGGTCTCCCCTCCCTGGGGAACCCCCACCCACTATCCCCACCTTGCCTCAGCACTAGGCCACTGCCAGTCACCAACTAGCCCCCGCTCCCTGGGGCAGACTGCAGTATAGGCCACTCATCACTGGCAAGGGGGGTTTGGACCTGCTGCCTTGGCCTAGCCCTGGGCTGCCCTCTGCAACCCCCAGTACCCCTTGGCCTAATACTAGGCCACAGCCTGGGGCTTTCCAGGCTGGAGCTCCTCAGCCTTTCCCCAGCCCTGCTCCACTCAGGTACCCTTTGTCTAGCTCCCTGCAGCCAGACCCGTCTCTCTTTGAAGGCAGAGAGAAACTCTGGCCTGAGCTCCTGGCTCCCTGCCTTTATAGGGCCTGCTGAGTCTGTTTGGGGTGTGGCCCCAGCTGCAGCCACTTTCCCCAATCAGCTTAGCCCTTCCAGGCAGGAGCAGGTGTCCACCCTGCTACATACCCCCAACACATGTGCACAAAAAAAGAAACAGGAGTTCTTGTGTTTGGCACAAACAATTTTATTCTTGTGCTATTTATTTGTAAGAGAGTGATTTTAAAAGTTTAACATGTATCCTACCCAGATACATAAACTGGTTTATTGATAGATTACTGCACATGAAACCAAAGAGATCAGCTCACACTTAAAGATATCAGTGCACATAGTGGTACGCCATTATGATTCAACTTGGAATTAATACGTTGTTATTTTGTCATGTTATACATTTAGGGCCCAATCCCATATGCCTTGAGCAGATAAAGTTCCAAGTGTGTATGAACTATGGGCTTCAGCTCTTAGTAAATTAGAAAGGAAAAACCTAAAGACAACATGAAATGCAATATACAGATAAGAATATATGTAACGTCTTTGTTAGTTGTCTTTTGAAATCTGATGTAATGGAATACTGTATTTCGATGATATAGGGTCTGATTCTGTAAGAGAGCTAAACCAATTTACCCTGCCAAGGATCAGGCCTTCTGTGTTATTAACATCTACTGGGTGTTTGAATATGACAAGATTTTGCACTTAATTAAGAAAGTATTTGAATGAGAAATAAAATCTGTTAGTTTCAGCTTGATTTTCTAGTTGTTAAAATGTCTGTGAAATTAAAAACTGCTTAGATCTCTGCGCAGGTTGTTATTTAGGGTAATCTAAGGAAGGCAAGATGAACTTTTACTGCAAGAAACGTTCAATGGCTTTAAAAGAGATTCAGAACAAGTTCTAAAAAGTACAATTTTATCAGACAATTTCTTTTAAAATCAGATTAGTTACTATAATCTAAAGGATATTCGTTAACTGTAAAACATTGAGTCAGTGATAATATGAGGTTATATTTTGGGTGTGATCCTGCACCCTTAACATTAATAGTCTCATTGGGTACTAATCACATGAGTAAGGGTATCCTTAACTTGGTCTCTTCACCCATTGATACCTGAGGGCCTGATTTGCTACCAATACTCAGGCTGAGTGGTACCTCACTCTGAACAAGTGCATTGACCACAATGGGAATCCTTGCTGACTAAGGTATTATGCAATGGATGAAACTCACCTCTGTACAGAGAATCAGCATAAATCCTTTGCACCATTTAAGCTCCCCCCAAGCATTCAAAATCAGTCTAGGTCAGTGGTGGGCAACCTGCGGCCCACATGCGGCTCGTCAGGGTAATCCACTGGCGGGCTGCCAGTTTGTTTACATTTGCACGGCCGCCTGCAGCTCCCAGTGGCCGTTGTTCGCCCATCACTGGTCTAGGTCTTCTGCACAGTGGTGAATTTCACTCAGTGTGTGTAAGGGAGGCAGAATTGGGCTCTGATTGATTTACAAGGATAACCTCTATTAATGTTAACGGGAGTTACAAACACTGACCCCTCAGACCTCAGTAGAAAAATACAATATATAGGGTACAAATGCCAGACACCCCCCTCTCACTGCTTGTGAGAAAGTATATGATTTTCAACCTCCCATTTGTGCATACTGATGTACATTTCTAGGCAAATTGCAAGTGCACTTTTGGAGGCTGGTTTTCAAAATTTGGCCCCTAAACCTTATAGAAAAATAGATTTTATAGAATAAACTATTTTGCATTGGCAACATTTCTCAGGAATTATCTTTCTCCTATAACCACATGTTGCTTTGGATCTATGGGAAGATCATGAAATTACATAAGTTGCCTAAATATGAGGTTTCTCTCTAGTCCAGTGGAATTCTCAGTACAATCTAAAATCATATTTCTCTCATATAAAAGTAGATTTTGCAAGGCTATTGATTTGATATTTATGAATCAGCAGCTTTCTTCAGGACACAGACTTAGTTTCTTCAACTTTATCTTCTTTACTTTAAAAAAATGTCCTGCAATAGAAAAGAAACAATTAGCTAGAATGCATCTTTAGGACTTTGTGATAAGCACCATATAAAATAATGAAATCACAACTGGCTGATTTTGGTTTGCATTTTATCTAACCACGGAGAGAACGACCACAAAATCTTCATGCAGACCTACATGAGAAGTCTTACCTTAGTCCTTCTAGTGGCCTGTAATCGTATTTAGAGAAACCATGAATGAAAAGCATACAGAAAGTTGGCACTATAAACTGGGTTTGAGAAGCAGTTAAGGATAATTCTTGGGATAATCACTGAATGACAGCAGAGTAATAGAAACAGGCCCACAATAAAAAGGCAAAGAGACATGAATAATTATTGACAGGCATACCAAGGTATAATATGAATAGTAACTAGGGCTGTCAAGCCATTAAAAAAATTAATTGATCATGATTAATCACACTGTTAAACAATAATAGAATACCATTTATTTAAATATTTTTGGATGTTTCCTACATTTTCAAATATATTGATTTCAGTTATAACACAGAATACAAAGTGTACAATGCTCACATATTTATTTTTGATTATAAAATATTTGCACTGTAAAAAACAAAAGAAATAGTGTTTTTCCATTTGCCTAATACAAATACTGTAATGCCATCTCTTTATTATGAAAGTTGAACTTACAAATGTAGAATTATGTACAAAAATAACTGCATTCAAAAATAAAACAATATAAAACTTTAGAGCCTACAAGTCCACTCAGTCCTACTTCTTGTTCAGCCAATCGCTCAGACAAACAAGTTTACATTTGCAGGAGATAATGCTACCTGCTTCTTGTTTACAATGTCACCTGAAAGTGACAACAGGAGTTTGCATGGCACTGTTGTAGCCGGCGTCACAAGATATTTACATGCCAGTTGCACTTAAGATTCATATGTTCCTTCATGCTTCAACCACCATTCCCGAGGACATGCGTCCATGCTGATAACGGGTTCTGCTTGATAACAGTCCAAAGCAGTGCAGACCAATGCATGTTCATTTTCATCATCTGAGTCAGATGCCACCAGCAGAAAGTTGGTTTTCTTTTTTGGTGGTTCGAGTTCTGTAGTTTCCACATCAGAGTGTTGCTCTTTTAAGACATCTGAAAGGATGTCCACACCTCATCCCTCTCAGATTTTGGAAGGCACTTCAGATTCTTAAACCTTGGGTTGAGTGCTGTATCTCTCCTTAGAAATCTCATATTGGTACCTTCTTTGCGTTTTGTCAAATCTGCAGTGAAAGTGTTCTTAAAATGAAAAACATGTACTGAATCATCATTTGAGACTGCTATAACATGAAATATATGGCAGAATGCAGGTAAAATAGAGACGGAGACATACAATTCTTCCCTAAGGAGTTCAGTCACAAATTTAATTAAGGCATTATTTTTTTAATGAGCGTCATCAGCATGGAAGCATGTCCTCTGGAATGGTGGCCAAAGCATGAAGGGGCATACGAATGTTTAGCATATCTGGCACATAAATGCCTTGCAATGCCGGCTACAGAAGTCCCATGCAAACGCCTGTACTCACTTTCTGATGACATTGTAATAAGAAGAGGGCAGCTCTATCTCCTGTAAATGTAAACAAACTTGTTTGTCTTAGTGATTGGCTGAACGAGAAGTAGGACTGAGTGGACTTGTAGGCTCTAAAGTTCTGCATTATTGTCTTTTTAAGTGCAGTTATTTAACAAACAAACAAAAATCTACATTTGTAAGTTACATTTTCCCAATAAAGAGATTGCACTACAGTACTTGTATGAGATGAATTGAAAAATACTGTTTATTTTGTTTTCCATTTTTACAGTGCAAATATTTGTAATAAAAAATAACAATATAAAGTGAGTTTTGTATACTGTGTTGTAATTGAAATCAATATATTTGAAAATGTAGAAAAACATCCAAAAATATTTAATACATTTCAATTGGTATTCTATTGTTTAAAAGTGCGATTAAAACTCTGAATAATCGCGATTAATTTGATTTAATCACGTGAGTTAACTGCGATTAATCGACAGCCCTAATAGTACTAATAGTACTAATAGAACTCTTGTTCTTTGGACTTATGGGAGTAGTAATTTTTAGCTGCCTAAATAACTATACATTCCTAAAATAAGAAGATATTATTCATGTAATTGTTTTCACAACTGCCTAGGTAACAGTAGGCTCTCCCATGTCTGTGTGGGTGAGGCGCCAATCCTGTGAGCAGCTGGGCCCCTTCTGAGGAGACCACTGGAGCATGAGAGCACTCAGAACTGACAGGATCAAGCTAGACGTGTGTGTGCATACGTGCAAGTGTTTGTTTTGTGGTGGAAAGAATGATAACTATTCCAAAGACCAAGAGAGAAAAAAAAAAATCAGCAGAGGCACCATGATACACGAATAACAATCAAATGTGCATGGGATCACACTGATGCCAAACAAAGATCAGCTCCAGTTTACTGTAACAGAACCCTGGAGGGTCTGATTGTACAACAGGCATTTAACTAGGGTGACCGATATATTAGATAGAAAAATAGTTTCCTTCAGCAGGAAGCATGATGTCTGTTTGCTGAGGGAACTTGTTTGCTGCCGTCAATACACACAGAATGCAACTCTTTGTTTAGGTAAGGTAGAATTTTTCGGATGGAAAGAACCGTAGCTCCATCAAATCCCACTATACCTGCCTCTGGCAAATGAACCTGCTTTTAACAGGCTTACTTAGATACGTTATTTTATGGGATGCTAGATAAGCCGTTATCACTATTAGTCAGTTAAATAGACTGTCACACTCATAATCTCAGATAAAAACTAAATCTGCATAGGGCTAGAGTGTATCTTTAGGAACAGCCCTGAGCAAGGGTAACTAGGCCCCTCCAGACCAGGTAGTGAACGCTGCTAGTGACTCAGTTTCCCCTTAGATTCAGTCAGTCACTGACTCCTGGGTCTCTGTAGTGACCTCGGCCCAGACCCTCAAAAGGTATTTAGGTGCCTAACTCCCACTGAATATTAGGCCACGCAGAGATTATCTTCAATCTCCATCCTGTCCTCAGTGCTTAGTGGTCCCAGGATTTTCCAGGTTTTCTTTTTACTTATATGGCTAAAGAACCTTTTACTACTGATTTTAATTTTCTTTGCATGGTTTTTTGTTCTGTTGGGCTTTCAGCTGTTCTCCTTTTATCCCTACACTTCTTGATCTGTTTTCCCATAAAACACGCACATACTCATAAATGCTGATAACTACGCAAATCTTGAAGTTATGCACTTAAACACTGTCGGTTTTCAATATAGATTAAGGATCTAATTTTTATGGCTGCAAAGCACCTACAGCTCCCACTGACTTCAGCTGGAGTTGGGATGCTCAGCACATCTGAAAGTTTGGCCCTCTAAATGTGCTGATCGTGTTGATCTGACAAAATGCATGTCAGGCAAGAACAGTGAAAACTGCCAGTCACCCACCCAGGGCCAAATCTACAGCTGGCGTAAACCAGTGTAGCTCCATTGAAGTTAATGGAACCATGCTGATCTACATCAGATGAGAATCTGGTCAATGTATAGGCCAAATTCTGCTCCCAGATATTCATGAGCATCTCCAAGTCAGTGGTGCTGTACAATTTGTCTTATCTTGTGCAAACTAGTAATGTGTAACAATTCACATGTGTAAACAACATGTAACCTTTTGTCCTACACCTCTAATGTAAAACATTTCAAAAAAATGTACTACTAATTTTTGGAAGATAGTACAGTGATTGGTGCTCCACAAGTGCCTAAAACAGATACATGTAACCAGACACGTTTTGCTTAGCATATCAAAAAGGAGCTAAAGCAATATAAATTTTTTGTTACTTTGACAAGTTAATTCTAATCCCCTCCCAGAGAAAGGCCCAAATGTGTGTGCTACTGTCTCTTACTATATCTCTGTACAGTGTGGCCCTGATCCTTGTTATTGCCTTTAATTGCTACCGTAATATAAATTATAATAATAATTATTTTAATTTATGATCACTAATACAATTTATTAAAAAACATAGTTTAAATTTTATAATTCTAAACTGTAAGTCCCTGTACTCTAGCAAAATCAGACAAGGCAAAAGCGCAGAGGACACACCAATACACCATGCGAGATCCAGGTAAGAAGACAGGCTGAGGCATGCAATGCACAGGTATGCACATGCTTTGGAAAATAATGCATCCTCACAATGAAACAGTATGTATCAACCCAGATCTGGCTATTGACCACTGCAGTGGCTACAGCTGCAGGAGATACCCTTGTCTGTACACAGCTGCACTGCCTTCAAAACCCTTTCTGTTTGTGTTGGGACTGATTGTTGATGAGGGGAAAGTAGGGCTAAATGTACAGGATATGAAAACACACAATAAAGATGAAAGTTATTTCCTTGCTTGCTGGTATGTGTATAGGTATTAAACATTTTTACTACAGTTTCTGGGTCAGATCCAGAAACCAGCTGGTGTAAAGCAGTGTAGCTCCACTTAAGTCAGTGCAACTACTGTGATTTACACCATCTGAGGATCTGGATCCCTGTAGGCAATGGGAAATCAGGCTTAATAAGAATTATATAACTTCCCATTACCAGTGTATTTGGCATAGGTACGTCTGCAAATATGTCTCCCTGGGGCAAGTTAGAAAACAAGGCTCTGTTTTTGAAAATATCTGTCTGAAATAAAACAACTGGTATCAATATAATGTGCGCATTTGGTTTTAACTCACCTAGTCCTTTGCTTAATTGAATATACTGATTAGTTTTGCATTATCTCATTGCTTTAGATATTTGTAATATTCCCTAAGGTACTTGGGAGCCTAAGGGAATGTCTACACTTTGAACTGTATCAAATGCTTTACTGAAGTCCACGTAGATTAGATCTCTTGCATTTCCTTTATCTAAAAAAATCAGTTCTCTTCTCAAAGAGATCAGGTTGATCTGGCATGATCTACCTTTTGTAAAACCATGTTGTATTTTATCCCATTTACCTCTACGCCTTTAATTACTCTCTTTCAAAATTTGTTCTAAGACCTGGCACACAATGGAGGTCAAATTCCAGCTCAAGGAGAGAGACCCACGCTAGCTCTGACTGAGTTAGTGTATTAAAAATAGAGCACAGCCAAAGCGGTGGGAGGGGCTAACCACCCTGAGTACGTACCCGTCCAAGGTGCTAGGCATATATTTGGGGCAGCTAGTCCTTCCTGCCACTTACGCTGCTCTGGCTACACTCTGTTTTGAGTGCACTAGCTCAATTAGGGCTAGCGCACTATGTCTTCTCAAGGTGGCATTTATACCTTCCAGCTCAAAACGTAGACATACCCCCCCTTAGTCTCAGTGAATGCCTCAGTTGCTTTTGAAAATGGGACTGAGGTGCCTAAGTCACTAAGGCACTTTTGAAAATTCCCCCCAAGTGACTAATTTATTTAATTAGCCAAATATAGTAGTTGCAGTCCAATAAGAAATATAATAAATCTTCAGGCTTGAAGAAGGAAGTTTATAGTGTATAAGAACATCTATGAGGAAGGCAATTAATGGCCATTAATTACAGTGATTACAGTAACAGTTAAAATAAACAAACATTCCTTAGTAAGATTATCTGTATGTTAAAAGGCAAACTAGCCAGTCTGTTGTTACTAGCTGTTTAACTGCTGAGGAAACAGAATGTATACACTTACATTTCATCATCATATTCCTTTGGAGGAGACACTGCAATGACTAAATCAATCCAATCCTGTAAAAAGAATGTATTATCGTTAGGAGAGACTTAAGCAGCCAGGTAATTCTCTCTTGCGTTACTTGACCCTTTGAAAGTGGAACTTTCACAGAGAGCTTCAACCAGATCAGGATTAAACATAAAAGGGACAAACTCTGCCCTCAGACACATCCAAGCAACCTCATAGGTGGAAAGTCGATGAGTCAGAGACCTATTGAGAGGTTACTCCACATAGCAGGAGGTGAAGAGGGAAGGCTACTGTAACAACATGGTAACATCATGGGAAGAGTCATGGAGGAATCCATTGCTAGGAGGGAAAAGGGCAACAGGAAAAAGATCTATTTGATACTGGCTGAAGTTAGGGTACGTCTATACTTACCTCGGGGTTCGGCGGTAAGCAATCGATCTTCTGGGATCGATCCCGGAAGTGCTCGCTGTCGACGCCGGTACTCCTGCTCCGCGAGGAGTAGGTGGAGTCGACGGGGGAGCCTGCCTGCCGCGTGTGGACCTTTGGTAAGTACCTTTAAGTTCGAACTAAGGTACTTCGACTTCAGCTACGTTATTCACGTAGCTGAAGTTGCGTATCTTAGTTCGAACTGGGGGGTTAGTGTGGACCAGCCCTTAGTCTCAAAAGCCTAAGGAGCGTTTTAACAACAAGCTGGTTAATTTTGAATTAAATCCCAAAATCAACAAATATTTTCTCCACTGCTGTGTATCAAACTCTTAGGATGATCATTTATACCCTGCACTGGGCACTTTTAACACTTGATATCATTCTTGTTTAGAAGATTCTCACTGTAGCCAAAACACTAGTTTTTTGTGCATCCGTTGTGAAGGATTAGATAAAACTATGATGCTGTGATAAAGTCCTTGACAATTCCCAATTCCCAATAACATCTTGGAAAGACTTACCATGAACTGCCCAGAGCAGAATACATTTAAACCAAACAACTCGCGTGGCTGCTGTGTACTTCTCAGGGGGAAAACACCCATTCACTTACCCCACCCACATTCCAGGCTTTGGCTAAAGTTGTCTGGGCTTCTGTCAGCGTCACATCAACTAAAATCTTGCCATTCACAGCCATTATTTCATCCCCTTTCACGATGCCTCCTGGTGAAGCAAAGGCAGAGCAAAAATACCATATCAGCAACATCATTTCTGTCAGACTTCTCTCTCAGATGCCTCTTCTTCACACACATTCAACAAACATCCCTATGTAAATTAGCCTGAAACCTTTCCTAGATGTACACTGCAGTAGTGCAGAGAAGGTGGCTTGTTGTAAATGAAAATAAGTGGAAGCTTTAGGTGCTGGGGCAGTGAGTATAACATCCTTCTGTTGGTTGTGGCCAATAAGGGCTAATCAGTCTCTGGTTATGAACACACTATGGTAATATTAAGGGGGAAAGTTTCAAAGGCACAGATGGCAGGTAGGTCCTTAACTATGGAGATGGGTTCCTAGCCACCACAATGGCTTTGAAACTTGCTGACAGTGAACTCTCTTAAACAGGGCAGTCAAAGGTATTATAGGTACTTAGCTAAATTTTTTCCTCATTTACACCCAGATTCTCATGCCTCAGGATTGTTTTGCAGGATCAGGGCCATCCTTAGGAACTAGAGAGTGAATTACATATGGAATAGAAGACTAAGAGCTTATCTACACTACTGCTTAAGTCGCTGTAACTTATGTAGCTCAGGGGTGTGAACCCCCTACCCAAACGACGTAAGTTACATTGACATAAAGTGGTGTCTACATTGCGCTATGTCGGTGGAAGATGCTCTCCCACCAACATCGCTTCCGCCTCTCACTGAGGTGGAGTAATTACATCGATGGGAGAGCGCTCTCCCGTCGACGTAGCGCGTCTTCCCCAAATGCGCTACATCAGTGCCGCTGCAGCACGATAGTGAAGACAAGCCCTAAGTGTTATCTCTGAACTGCCCTGCTCTCTGAACCTCACAAGAATTAAAAAAAAAAAAAAGAGATTTTGTAAATTTAACTTCCCACACAAGGAGCTCTCCCAGCAGTGATCTGCCACTGCCACACACCCAGCCCACCATATTGTAGCTAAGGCACAGGACTGGAGATCTGGGTTAAATGTTTGGCTTTGCCACAGACTTCCTGTGTAATGCTGGGTAAGTCACAATTGTTCTGTGCTTCAGTCCCCGTTCTCTAAAATGGGGATGATAATATTTTTCTGTTAGCCTTTGTCTGTCTTGTAGGCCCTTTGCACGCAGAACTCGCATTAACATCATTCTTGAAATAATCATCTGGGGCCAGACTCTGCCACCCTTGATTTTAATGGGGATGACTTACACTGCAAGGGTGACACAACTGGGCTGTTAATAATGAAGTAGCTCTCCATCTTCCTCCTCTTCCCAATTACTGGCCTTCGGCTGCTGCTGCTAAAATGACAGACAACAGCTGCGGCTTTTTCTTTATACTTAGTGGAAACCTGCCAGAAAATCTGGCCAATTCCAATTATTTTTTACTGTAAGCACCAACCCCCAAATGAAGGGCCTAGTTCTGAAGCGGCTCTGAACATGAAACTCTTGGGGACTTAATCTGCCTCAGATATTTCACTGGGGCCTATAGGCATCAGCCAGTCATGAAGAAAGCGTAAACTTAGGAGGCCAACAGATGAAGTGCTTTAGAACCAGGTTCAAAATCCCCCTGACTTTCCCCAGGGTACTCACCATGTTTGTCTGCGGAACCACCCTCATAGATAGCAGACACTACTATTTTTCCAATTGGGGAATCAATGCCTCCCTCTACTGCAAGATCTAATGGTCCTTCCTATTAAAGAAAACGTTTTAGTTCAGAATACACTACAGACAGACACCACAATCAGTAGGGGTCTGATCCTTCCACCCTTACAGTAAATAGGACTATACACATAATAGTTGCAGGATCAGGTCCTTGGTGTATTCTGTGGTAGTATCAGTGGTCAAGGTTTTAATAAGTGCTCAGTGATTTTGAGTGTCTCATTCTTCGAGTGGGCACTTTGAGACACATAGGAAAGGCCTAATTTTCAGCATCTTTGGAAACACAGGCCTCTTTAAGGTGTCTGAAGTTGGGCACCCAAAATCACTAATCCCTTTTGATAATCTTGGTCAGCATCAAACTAGTTCATATAAGATAATGGACATAATTCTTCCATGTTATTCCAATCAAAGAGGTCTAAGAATGACCACTGTTATGCTGAAATGGTGAAATAACAGCAATAAAACAAAACAATGTCACATTATTGAAATAAAAATGTATGATTCATTACAATTTCAACATGCTTTTAACAAAAGAAGAAAACCAGGAAAAAAAATAGTTTGTCTCTTTAGAGAGTTTGAACTGTGCAAGTTACCCAGATTGACTTAAAATCTAGTTACAACTAAATAATCAACAAATTCAGATTTATTTTTGTTAGCATTAAATACTGTGGTGACTTTTTACATGAAGACCCATTTTTGAAGTGGGAAGAAGAGGTGGCTGTGAGAAGGAGATGCAAACCTGCAGTGATTCATAGATTTTATAGTACGCCAACCCCACTGCTATCTAAGGGCATGTCTACACTACACAATTAATTCGACTTAGGTCGAGCGACAGCCATGCAATAATTAAATTGGCTGTTCATGTCCATACTCTACTCCTTCTCTCGGCGGTGCACGTCACCAGGAGCGCTTGCACTGACTGACATGGGGCATTGTGGGGCACTGACAGCTGGAGCCCCGCCATCAAAGGCAGCATCGACCTAACTACATCGGCCTAAGCGCTATGTCTCTCGTGGAGTTATTAGGTTGGCGTAGCAGGTGAGCTAAATTGGTGGGAGGAACATTGTACTGTAGACACTTAGAGAGTCAGGTCGACATAAGCTTCCTTACGTCGACCTAATTCTAGTGTAGACCGGGCCTAAGATCCTATAATTACATTGTCTAGACATCACCATTAATGTCTACGGCATAAGAGTTAAGGAAACTAATGTTTTCCCTGATTAGCAATTCGTCTGGTGTGAACCGTAAAGTGGGGGCACAGGAATGGGAGTGTGGCTTGAGGAATTTGAGTTTTCAACCTCTTTATGGCCCTGATTCAGCAAAGAACGTCCTTCAGCATGTACCTAACTATAAGCACAAGAGTAGTTCCAAGTCAATGGAACTACTCATGCTTAAAATTAGGCACACACTTAAGCAACTTACCAAACTGGGGTCCATGCTTTTGGTTAGCTCAGAAATAAAAGTTTCAGAGGCTTCTAAGTCACTTAGATGTGTAAGTCCCATTTTCAAAACTCACTCACTTTTGAAAATGTTCTCCCTAGTGTTAGCATGAGGGAGCTGGAATCAGTACTGACTGCTTTCTAACTTGTCATTTGTACACACTGTCCTGTTTGTGTATCACACAACTTTGGTTTTATCATTTTCTACATAGGTACATGTCTCCAATAGTAAGTGTACTGCTTTGTGACCACATTAAGGTTTGCTCTTTCCACTCAAGTCCTCTCATTTCACCATCTGGGTGCACAAAGATGGGCTAGGGAAACATACCAATTCTGCGTCAAAAATGACACATGGCTAGCATCTGGATTAGTCACAGGGCTTGACTCTGCAAGGTGGAGAGCAGCAACTATGTGTTGAGTACACTCAGAACTGGGCAGAATTGGGCCCTCAATAAAGACTGAGGAGTTGGGCTTGTAGGGGTCCCCCGACGTGTGTGTGGGCTTTGTTCTGTATACCCCTATGAGTCCTAGGGGTTTGGGAGAAACATGAGAACATAATGCTATTGAGGAAGTGGTGGGGAGTGGGGAGGGCTAACAGGGAGCGGGTGCAGGAGGAGGTTGCAGTGGGGAAGCACTAGTGTTTCCCTCCCTTCACCACCCAAATCTCCTGCCATTTGTCAGAGGGGAGTACAGGATGTACAGGAGATTCATCAAGGGTAGACAGTAACAATATAATCATGTGCCCCAGGTACTCTGAAAAATCAAGAGCCCACACGACCCACAAAATGTCTCAACCCAATTACAGGGGTTACCTTTTTAATACGTAACAGCCGCACATCTTTTCCCATGATCTGATCTGCTGAAAACTATCAAAAGACACATCAGTTAGTCATTTCCACCTTTACAAAGCAGCTGAATGAAATCATTCAGATGAAGCATGTAGTTTACAAGGGAAGGTGTGCACCTCTTTTAAATCAGAGCTATGGGAAGAACAGAACGCTAGTCCGCTGAGGACAATCTGCTTCCTTAGCAGAACTACCTCTGGTCTCAAAGGGATCTCTACAGGCACATCACAAATCCAGGATAGTATGTAACCCTATGTTTCCCCACATCATTTAATCTTAACCTCTGTGGCATAATTAAATCTTCTCCTTACCATTGTATAGGGATCAAAATCTTCCACATACTTCTGGAAGCCCTGAAAATAAATAAATGTTTAATTATATGCAGATCAGACACACATAATCCCACCAAAATTACTAGTGAGAAAACTACTCTAAACTACAAAAGATGGTTAGAACATAACATGGAGAAAGACATGCAGGTAGCTGATATTCCTCCTGACAAAGATATTTTAAAACCTTATTATAGGATGTTAGAGAGACCAGGTGGGTGAGGTAATATTTTTTTGCACACACAGTTGTTACTGGGGAATTTCATGCACTGGATGAGGTACACCACATGTTGTGATAGGCATGTGTAGGACCATGGATCTTGAAAGATGTGTTGTGGGGGGTGTTGATCATTGTAGCAGTGGAGATATGTCTGCAGATTTTGCATCTGTTGTTCTTGCAGGTCTTGTGCCGCGTTGAGTTGGTGTGTCCTGGTCTGTGGGGAGCTTGCCTCTGATGATGGCCTCAGAGAAGTTAGGGGCTTGTTTGAAGGCCAGAAGAGGGTGTTCAGGATGGCAATTTGAGTTGGTAAGATTATAGGCCACATTTGGAGAGGTGATGAAGATAATAAGAATGGCGGGGAGGGGGGGACTAACCCTCAGCACCTCTCAGGATTTGGCCCCATATGGTCAGCATTATGAGCCATTTTCTGCCTCCTTCACTCTCACTGAGTAGTATCCATGATGGGACTGCTCACAGAGTAAGGCACTGCTTGGCCTGACTAAGGGTGGCAGAATCTGGTGCTCTATTATCAGTCACAGCGGCTCAGTGTGCATGGGGCTGAGTCCTTTACAAAGCTGCTCCATTCTCTCCTACCATCACTGAAGTCTCTGGGACTATTAATGGAAATAGGTGTTTGATAATTTTTGGTTTTACTTGCATGATACATTGGTGGGGATGATGTTAAAATACGGAGGAAGATGCTGTGGGATTGGAGATGGGTCTGGTTCTGGGTTTGTTTATGTTGGATGTGGTGGTGGAGAGAGAGTTATGTTGAGATGGGTTTATTTTAATTTTTTAGGGGATCCTCTGCCTTTTTAGCTTTCAGACCCAAGCCCATTACCTTAAGCACAGCATTATGGGGTAGGAAACATGTGTGGGCAGGTGGTTGTTTGTGATTATCTCATCTCAAGAAGGTGAGACATTCTTTGGGGTATCCTGGGAGCTGTTGGGTGAGCAGCGTGGGTAGGGGTTTGAGGTTTAAGAAAGTTTGGCATTAATTCTGTTTGGAAGGAGGGGTGTCGCTGTATTGATAACTTTTGCAGCTTGGAGAGCCTTGCTTGTGCACCCAACTCTGGCAGCAGCAACACTTCCATGACCACTTTAAGCTGCCACAATTTGGGGCTATTGAGACTTGGGGACAGAAAGATCAATTGTGGGAGTCTGGGTCCTTCAATCATTGACACGGTAGATGAAGGGATACTAGGCACACGCCAGGAGTGCCAGGCTTAATATCAGTCTCATTGGTCTGGCTTGGCCTCTCCATCTACCCTCAGACTCAGTCTCTATTTCACTGAATACAGGTGACAGAGTCTCTTGGCTATCCCAATGTCTAGCTGAAACAAAGGTTTCTCCACCTTTTTTTAACAAGAGGAGTGCTATGTTGTGCCCATTGTCTTCTTGGCTGCTCTTAAATGCCCAAGTTGCAGCAGTAACCAAAAGTGCTTTTGTCCATCTGAATGTGTCAAAGCAATTGTGATCTTTCCTCTGGGGCATGGACTTTACCAGAATCATACAGGCCTTTTTCACCCCCAGCGTGAATTAGTGCAGTGCACTATGCTCAGGGCTGCATCTGAAGAATACTCCAGACTCAGCTAGTGCGACTGCTCTTTTGTTTAGCAGTGCTTCTCACACAGATCCCATGGCCAGAGCTGCCTGGGGAGGGGGAGAGGGGGGGCAAGTGGGGCAATTTGCCCCGGGCCCCACAGGGGCCCCCACAAGTATGTCGGAGGCTCCCCTGGCCTCCGTCTTCCCCCATCCCCCGGCGCCTCAGCTGGTAAGGGGGCGGGGCTGCGAGCTGCGGCCGAGCAGCGGGAACTCAGGCCCAGCTGGAGACACCACGCTGCTGCAGCGCTGTCCGGGGCTGCTCCTGGACGCGGCGCGCTGAGGCTCTGGGAGAGGGGGTAAGTGGCATGGTAAGGGGCCGGGGCCGGGGCCAGGGACCCCCCCAGCCCCATATTTTAATTATTGTAAATTTTACAATGAAAATGGAAACCAAACTGGTCCAGGTGAACAACTGATTTTAAATAGTCGATTTATGTATCTGATTTTAGGAGGCAAGGTTGGTCTAGGCAACCATAGTGTTGGAGCAAACACCTTTGAACAAGGAGTTCTAATTTGGTCAGAACCACTGCTTCATTATGTAACCGAGGTCAAGTCACTTGACCTTCCATAGTCAAAGGTCAACCTCATGAAAACCAGATATTGCCCCTGAAGAAAATTTTCTTGGGAAAATATATTTTAAACAACAGCATAAATAAATAGGTAGATTGATACCTTCTAACAAAAAGAGAACACAATCTGGATCCAATAAGCATGCAAATGCTATACATTCTTTGAAATATATTAAATCTTTCCAGGAAAAATGGCACCACAGTCATTCACAGTGTATTCAGTGATCTGAACACTGCACATTCAGGAGAGGGCTAATATTTCAGTCACATGGCAAAACCAGATGAAAAAGAAACCAAAGGCCCAATCTTGCCCTCAGGGTACAGAAGTGCCTCTCTGGGGAAGAGACTC